ATATTAGCCTTTTATTATATAGGATGATTTACAAATAATTTGTTTCCATTCTTTGGGTTGTGTTTTTACTCTCTTGACAGTATCCTTTGAAGCACAAATGTTTTGATTTGTTTGAAGTTCAATTTATCTATTTTTTTGTCAACTGGGCTTATGGTTTCATATCTAAGAAATCATTGCCTTATCCAAGGTCACAAAGAAAACAACCTATGTTGTCTTCTAAGAGTTTTTGCTCTTATGGTACATTTAAGTCTTCAATCCATTTTTAGTTTACTTTGTATGTGTGTGTATCTTGGATGGGAATGTTCAATTGTCCCTGCATTCTATTGTAAAGATTATTTTCTCCACTATTGAATTGTCTTGGCACCACTGTCAAAAATGAATTCACCATAATGTAAGGTTTTGCTTCTGGAATCTTGGTTCTATTCCACGGGTCTACATGTCTACTTTAGGCCAGTCCAGGCCATCCTGATTACTGTAGCTTTGACCAGTGTTGAAATCAGGAAGTGTGAGTCCTCCAACTTTGTCTCATAAAAAAATTAGTTCAAGCCTTACCTGGTCTGGCTCAGTGGATAGAGTGTCGGCCTGGGGACCACAGGGTCCGGGTTTGATTCCCATCAAGGGCATGTCCCTCGATTGCAGGCTCCTCCCTGGCCCATGCCCTGGTCGGGGCTCAGGCAGGAGGCAACCAATCAATGTGTTTCTCTCACATTGGTATATCAATGTGTTTCTCTCACATTGATATTTCTCTGTCTTTCTCTCTAAAAATCAATGGAAAAATACCCGTGGGTGAGGATTAAAAAAAAAATTAGTTTGAGTGCTAGGGTATCTTTATCATATTAAAACTACTACAGAATGTATTTCTCTTAGATAACTAAGACGGACACTGAGAAACCTTTTCCTAGTTGTTTTTTCTTTTTTTAAGAGAAAATATCTTACCCCAAGACTATTGATCAAGTACACTCACCAACTGGGCTTTTCAGATAGTCACTATTTTTAGAAGTCAAAACAACCTTGGCTAGAAGCTATTATTCTTACCCAATTTGGGGGAGCAAGCATTGTAATTGTTCACTCTTTCAAACCAAAGGTGCATAATATAAAGATTGTTTTTGGACATACACAAGCCTGCAAGAGAGGCATGTGTTTGGCTGATAGTCTAAAAATACTGCCAGTGTTGAAATAAAAATATGCTCATTTAATAATATTTCCACTGGATAAAATAGGTTTAAAATGTTAACATCTTTTATGATTCAGTAGTAGTTCTGTGTTCAAGGCCTTGGCTTTGTGTCCTGGACAAGCTCCTGCCCTGCTGTGAGTCTTGGTGTTCTCAACTGGAAAACATATCCAACCCCAGTGATATATGAGGGAATGTTAAGAGAATGTATGAATAAAAACAGTTTATATGAATAGTAAAATAAATTTAAATATGAAGTAGTTTGATGTTTTACGAAGGCACCAAAGCAATCTAATAGGAGGAAGTCTTTTCAATAGACAGTGCTATATAACAACTTGATATCTCTACAGGGGGTGGGTGTGGGGGGCAAATTAGACATGGGTCTGGCCATAACATAAAAGCTAAACTATTATGCTTCTAGAGCAGGGGTGGGCAAACTTTTTGATTCAAGGGCCACAATGGGTTCTTAAACTGGACCGGAGGGCTGGAACAAAAGCATGGATGGAGTATTTGTGTGAACTAATATAAATTCAAAGTAAATATCATTACATAAAAGGGTACGGTCTTTTTTTTTTTTTTTTTTTTTATTCATTTCAAACGGGCCTGATCCGGATAAACTGGACCGGAGGGCCGGAACAAAAGCATGGATGGAGTGTTTGTGTGAACTAATATAAATTCAAAGTAAACATCATTACATAAAAGGGTACGGTCTTTTTTTTCCAATAGTTTTATTCATTTCAAATGGGCTGGATCCGGCCCGCGGGCTGTAGTTTGCCCACGGCTGGGCTAGAACAAAGCACAGGAGAATGTTTTCACAGCTTGGGGGCAGGCAAAAGCTCCTTAGAGACGAATTTGATACACTGACCATAAAAGAAAAAATACTGATGAACTGAACTCCAAAAAAACAAGCTGCAGTCCAGGATAACATACTCACAACACACATCTGATAAAGAGCTGACATCCAGAGCGTACTGCAAATCCTCCGTTGTTGAGAGCTTCCTGGAAACGGCTACGCTAACCAGTTTTGCCATGGGTGAACTGGTGCACAGGCGTGTACCTTAGGAACTTAACCTTAAATCAGTCAGTCTATGGTAAAATTGTTAGTGTGGCAGTTTCCAAGAGCCTATCAACAACGTTAAGTGAGAACTTAACTGTATTAAAAACTTACAACTCAATAATGAAGAGACAAAGGAAAATACATGAATGGCCAATAAGCACGTGATAAAGTATTCAACATCATCAGTCACAGAAAAGCAAGATATTACTGCACTAGAATGACTAAGAGAAGTGACAACACCAAATGTTGGAGAGGGTGTGAAGCAACATTGCTAGTGGACGTGTAAGATGGAACGAGCTTTGGAAGAAGGCCTGGCAGTTTCTTATAAAATTAAGCCCATCTAGTCTTTGATCCAGCCACTCCACTCCTGCTATTACCCAAAAGAAATGAAAGCACATGCCCACTGAAAGACTTGCATTAGACTATCTAGAGCAGGGCTCTTCATTGTTGCCCCAAACTGGAAACAGTGCAGCTAACAGTAGGAACAGAGATTAAAACTGTGGTACAAACAATGGAATAATACTCAGCAAAAGAAATTACCGATGAAATGATCTCAAAAACATTCTACTGAGTGAAAGAAGCCAGATATGAAAAAGCACAGGCCACAAGATTCCATGTATATGAAGTTCTAGAACCAGCAAAACCAACCTATAGTGAAAAAAATCAGAGCAAGGGTTGACTCTGTGGGAGAGGGAGGAGTGGAGAGTGACTGGAAGGGAAGCGGGGCCTGGAGTTGATGGGGATGTTCCAGCCACAACAGGGCTTACACAGAGTGTGAATTTGTCAAAGCTCGGGGAATATTTCACTCAAGTTGCATGATTTTTTTAACCTGACGCACACATAATTGAATTCTAAGCAAATAACTGAATTCTAGTTAATGATATGCACACTGGTGAAGTGTATGTATGTCTTAAACTTACAGTAAAGGGCATCAAAAAATGAATGGAATGATGAGAAGATAAAGAGCAAAATGTTAATTGTAGAAAGGTAGTCAATAGATGGATGTTTGCTACATAATATTTTTCAACATTTCTGTCTGGTTGAAGTTTTCCCAATGTTGGAAAAGTATGAAGTGCTTAATTAGAAAAACCTATTAAACTTGACTGATAGCATCTCACAAAGAAAATAAAACAGTAGATAACAAAACCATGTGTATTATTGAGTTCAACATGTAACTTTGTTCGTGAGTTCCAACATAAAACTAGCCAGCCTTGTGCTGCTGCAGTGTCTCTTGGGGCCACCACATCACCAGGCTCCTGTCTGAGCATGGGACACCACCTCCTCATCCCTAGTCTACCTGGCAGTTGGAACATTCGTGAACCACCCCTGCAAACACCAACCAGACATCTCCCAATCCAGACCCTGAACTCACTGACCACAGGAAAACTTCTATTGTCAAATCCAATAACCGGTTTTCAGTCGTTACCCGACCTCACCTTTTCTCAGCATCTGACTTAGAGGAAGGACCACACTCTCTTGAAACTTCTCATTCCCTTGACTTTGACACTTCTCCTCATCCTCTTGCCACCTTTGCAGCCTCTTTGGTTTAGGACACCTCCTCTGTCCTCCTCCGTGGACACACTCTACACGCACAAGCCTTTTCTCTCCATATGCTCCTCCTAGGTGACCAATTTGACTTCCACGAATTCATCTCTCACTTGATAACTCTCAAATCTGTTTCTGACCCAAATTCCCTCCTGAGGTTTAGGCTTGAAACTCACAGGTCAGCCCCTGGGGATATTCCGCAGGCCCACTGATGTCAAAACAGAACTCGCCTTCTCCTGAACACCCCGGTCCAGTAAATTCCTCCTTTTTCTATCTCCATTAATAGAAATAATTCTTTCTGAATTTATCCCTTTCTCACTCACACA